TCATCTAAAGTAACAGACAGAGAATCAGCACTTTTGAAACAGGGCTGAAACAGAGGGGATTATGGGATGCTGCAATGATCTGTTTGGTATTTTGAGCCAAATACTTCAGAGACATGTTTTGTATATATCTGAGACCTATTATATATTGATGAAAAACAGTATAATAGGGGACCTTTAAGAAACCACAAGTTAACATCACCAATTCTACTACAGGACCGAATGAGATTGAGAACATGATAAATAGAGTTTATGAAATGTTGCTAAAAGGAGAAATGTATAGCTTAGACTTTGATCTAATATGTAATGACTCACTGAATCGATTGTTTCATCTTCATCTGAAGCTCCATCTCTGCTCTCTTCCTCCAGATTATCTTCTGTAGCAGACAGCAGCAGTTTGCAAAACCATTTTTAATTATGTCTTTTTCACATATTTAATGTAATCTGAGTCTGCTGAGCCGCCTACCTGAGGTGGATCGGCGATGACTCCCGTTGTGTTTCCTGTGAACAGAGAACACAACACACTGAGTGATCATGCAAAGAGAAACCACAACGTCCTGTGTAAGGCAAGCCAAGGCAAGTTTATTTATATAGCACCTTTCAACACAAGGCAATTCAAGGTGCTTTACAAAAATGAAAGACATTCAGACAAAGGCATTTCAAAACAGTAAAATATAATAAAAGAAACATTAAAAGAAAAAATACATGAATAAAAAGTACATGAATAAAAAAGTACATGAATAAAAAGTTACAGTGCAGTTTAAGATATGAATAGTGTGTAATAAAAACTATTATTTACATGTTTGACACTGTGTGAGGTGACCATTATCATTGTGTTGATGCTAGAGGCGGTGTGGGATGTTTTGTTGACGTCACATTAAAGACTGCATCTGTGATCAAGTGAAGCAGATTTCTTAATAAAGTCTTCACTCTATAAAATGTAAAAAAGGAAAGATAAATGAAACACCTTTCATAACTTCTAACATCTTTGGATTGCTTATTTTTTCTAAATAATATTACAAATTATATATTTTATTTACTATTATTACACTGGTTATTTTTTGGTTAATATTAAAGTTCATTTATAGTCCATCAATCCATGAAAAATGTTCTGCATATGTTTATGAGATACAAAAATAATTATTAGCAGTGAAGATTTTATATCTTAATAATGTCCAGAAGAAACATAAATCCCCAAAACTGAATTCAACAATTAATTTGACTATTAATGTAATAATGATTGTATCATGATATTGTTGTTCCTTCTTGCATGTACAATAAATGAGTTGAACAAATTATATAATGCAATTCAACACTAAATGACTACAAACTACAAGACAGAAATGAGTCTCCCTAATAATACAGTAGCTTCAACAAGTTCCCACAATGCACAGCACGATGCAAAAATGATTGTACATTTCACATTGTAAATATCATAAAATGAAATAAAGTTATTTTCAGTGAATCACAGAGACTTGAGCCTACCTCGTCTGACGAACAGCCAACAGGGTGAATAAATGAAAGAGAAGGAACATAAATATGAGATTATTGATCTTCTTCAACCTCTATTGATGAGGTTTCTGTTACTGAATCAAATAAGAGACTTATGAGAGGCTCACGAACCAGGTGTTCACTATCATCTATATCAGTATCTAAAGGGGCCGTTATTGAATCCGGTTCATTATCGCCTGTAAGAGAAGGGAAAACACATTAAACCTTTGTCCAGTGTTCAATAGGTTATATTTGTCACGATCTGTCTGTGTTGTGTTTTGTCTTGTCTTTGGTTTCATGTTTTATTTTGAAAAGTGTTCACCCCCTGTCTTGCCTGTTGCTTTCTGTCTGTTTTCCCTCCTACCTGATTACCCGATTGTGTTCACCTGGTGCCCCTGTGTTTTCTCCTCCCTCCTCACCTGTGTCTTGTTTGTGTGATTAGTCCTGTGTGCATTTAGGTTCTGGTTTTTCTGTCTGTCATTGTTGGTTCATTGTTTGTCTTTGACTGTGTTCACGGGTTAGTGTTCTGTTTGTTCCTAAAAACCTTTTCTGTTTATTCTGCATATTCTGATCCTGCATGCTTCACTCAATCCTAACAATATTCTCTCATGCGTTGTAAGTGTGTTAACCTGAATTTGAAGAATCATCCCTCAGTGAAGCCCATGAGACTTTAGATCTACGTTTAGAAGGGGTCCCGTTCTGTCTGTGAGGAGAGAGTCAGTTATTATAAACACTGTCACTGTAAAGTGCACAGATAAACAAGTAGCTTGATTTAAAGTCAAAATAAAAGTAAGTGACTTTAAACATGAACATATTTCACACTGTGTCCCTCAGACCTTCAAAGGTAGACAAAACCCATTTTGTTTAATATTAAAAATGTAACTCCTATTTAAGTTATTTGTGTTTTGTTTTTTTAATACATATTATAGGTAAATTACTAAGAGTCTATAAATATGTTTTTTTGTAGTTTAAAGTAATTGTCTGGATTCGTTTTTTAAGAATAGAGCAGATTTAACTAGTGAACATCTGAAGTTTGGTAGTCTTTGTTTGGTTGGTAGCAGGGTGATTTTGTCCACCCTCAATCGGTAACCATCATGCCAGCTAGCTTAACAAAAACCTGAAACCTAAACACTCCAGTATTCTGGTCTTAAGTAAGTTCACATCTAAAAACAACTCAAGCTTCATAAAGAGACATAGATAGAGAATATGTTGGTGGTGTTGATGGCTCGGTCCATTAAAAGGTGATCTTTTTCCTTTTTCTATATAAAGTGCATTCAAAGTATGCTTTTTGCACTGATATGCATTGTCAGCTACTTGAGTTTTGAATTTCCCACAGGTCCCCTTTAACACCACATATACAGTATTTCATTAATTTGGTGTATTGTTATTATTAGACCTGTTTGATTTTAAATAACCGTTAGTGTAGGTTTCTATATTTTGTCTAATATGACGCTGTTTGTAACATAAATAAGTTCTTACTTAATGTTAAACCTTAAATGTAATGCATGTTACTGTCATACTCTGAATGGTGGATTTTCCCCTGGGAATATAAAGCTTTATTTTGCAATAAGTGTTTTGAAATTGTGACCAGAAGGAGCTACATAATATATTTAAAAATACAAATAAGGGTTGATATGCTACCAACTTTACAACAACATTTCAAGACTTTTAGGGAACAACTTTAAACCTTAAAAAACAGCAAAGCGAGCATGAAAAATAATCACACACTTACTCGTCTCTGAAACTCAACCGTCTCTGTTTCAAAAGCAAAATCAGAATGGTAAAGAGATTTTGCCCCGACAGTTGCCTAGACTAATGTCTAAACTTAAAAAGGACCTAAGTCTTTTTCCACACGAGGCGGATTTACCCGTGAGGAGGGTGGATAGTCCCTTTACTCTCCAACGCACCGTACCTCGTTGTACCTCGTCGTACCATTCGTCGTACCATTGTACTGCCGAGCACGGAAGCGGGGGGAGGAAACGTCCCCCCGCTCCAGTCGACGTCCAGTAAACGGTGTCTTTAGTCGGGAACACCTTCTGTCCCGACCTTATCTCTTTCATCTGCGCTTACTCCGTTACCGTTTTACGTACTATAACAAACCAATAAAATTTCTTTGAAGTGTCTGGTACAAAATATATCCATACCGGATTTATATTAATAATTTTTATATTACTATCCAGGGGGTGGAAATTTCTCAACCCGAGACATCTAAATTGTTTACGGTGAGCTCGTCCTCTTTACACCGTAGTAAACCCCTGATCAAAGATCCCCCCTCATTTATGTGTAAAAAAAACGTCAAAACGTCGACGTTCTACTGAATTGTTATTTTATTACGTCAAGTTTAAAGACATAACTTACAGAAATCTTACGTTAGTATAATAGGCTTCTGTGTGTAAACAAAAATAAAGTACTCCAAATAACGGAATTGGACACTCTTCAGTATTCCTTTGTAGTCGAACCTTTCAAACAGAATTCGCAACAATACTTACATTAAGCAAGTGTAAATCTTTTACGAGAGAGGAAAAATACGAGACTTTGTAACTATAGACTAGGGAAAGTTGTAGGTGAGGCACACAAAAATCCAGTATAACACCTGTTTGTACGAGGAACAGTGTTCGTTCTTTCTTACTGTTCACCATACAGTGCGAGTGTCGTTGAGACAGAACTACAAATTTTAGCAAAAATAAGAATTACAACAATGTCTATTTTACTAATAAGAAGGAGCTGTTCTACTGAGATGGACTGGTCCGCCGGTTGACCATTGTCGTCGGCTGAGTTTGTGAGGAGGTCGTCATCCTTCGGGAGGTAGATAGGTTCCATCCGTCTATGACAAGTACTAGTTATTTATGTGGAAAAAATATGAAATTAGAGTTCGGTACAATATCACTNNNNTGTTCTTCAGATGACTGTGATGTTAACGTGTAAGCTCAATAATGAACTCAAGCTCAACCAACCATATTGTAATATCTAACTGTAACGGGTCACAACCGTAAGCGGCCTGTTATTGATCAGGAAACACAGCGAAGCATCTAGGTGTCTTTTCTGGCGTTTATTCTGAGGACTGAGAACAAAACACAATATTCTCCTTAAATCCACGCTACACATCCTCCGCAGCACTCACTTCAAAGTCCTCTTTAGTATTTATAGATTAAGAAATGAACAAGAAAATCTTATCAAGTAATCACACAAAAATACAAACACAAACATACTTGAGAACAAAACACAATATTCTCCTTAAATCCACGCTGCACATCTTTACAAAAGAAAAGAAAGGAAGGGCTAACATGTAAACAAAGAAAATGACGCAGATCGTGTCTAATTCCCGCCAAAACCACACCACAGATATCACTAAAAAAATACAATTTCCTACGGTGAAAACCAAACAAAAACGGGTCAACAAGGTACCCAAATTAACACTCAACAACACACATCACTTCCATCAACCCAAACAGCCGGTCCATCACACAGAACCGCAATGATTTGTAACACCTCTACCAGCACAGCTTACAATCCGCAGCACTCACTTCAATGTGAGGGGAGAGCGGAAATGACATACAGGAAATAGAAAAATATGTGCAACGGGAAAGTATTCCCACCAGAAACATAACTCAAAAACATCAAAAGTAAACAATCTCATAAAGATAAAATTCACAACCCATTATAAATCGTAATTTATAACTAGATTTATGTCTACACATTTTTAACTCCGTTACACTGGCTCGGCCGCCGAGACGGGGCCGACCCCCGGCTTCGGTTCCTGTCAGGGAGTGTGGGCCTATTGTTCCGGTCCCTCCTCTGTTGGGGGCCGCACAGGCGGAGGTCGCTGCACCGACTCCGGTGCGCAGGTCTCGTGGGGGCAGGCGGGTTATTCCTCCCCGCCATACGGATTTTGTTTACACGTGAATTCTGGGGGAGCTTGTGTGGTGACACTGTGACGACCCCTGCTTGGAGGTCTCCTGTGGTGCGTATGGCCCTTTAATGATCCTCCTCTGCTTGTGCCCACACTGATTGAGGACACCTGACGCACTGATTGAGGACACCTGACAGCTCGCACCGGAGGATTAAAAGGCCTGAGCCAGAGCCTCGAGGTGGCTCCCCGCCAGAGGACTGGACCTCGGAGAGCAGCAGCGCTTATTCTTATTTTTGCCTTGCCTTATGTTTGTTTTTTGGCCACACAACGTTTTGCCAAATAAATACCTTTTTATATACATATTCTTGTCCTTCCCACGCTTTTTGACATAATTCACCTCTCGTATTGTGTTGCCACACGGACCCTTTAGTGGGAACACCGGTAGCTTCAGCTGACATTCTACATGCTAGCTCGTCGAGCAGAGCAGACATGTGTTAACCTCTCTGTTATTAATGGCTAATAAAGATTGGAACTCCATTCTGAATACACCGCCTCCGACTCCCCTTTCACGGCACTACAAGTGCATATTTTAAACATGATAATCAGAATGACTTTTGTTATGGCTGTTCTTGATATGATCATTATTGGCATTTCCCATACTGATTTATTAAGCCTGGAACTGAAGCCAAAGGAGAATAGAAGAATACTGAAAACTGTTCTTACACTCAAGGTCAAAACCTCCCCTTATGGTATATTTCTAGGTACAATCTGGTTAATTAATGAAGGAACCCAACGTCTGACTTTCAAATCAACGCCATTGAGATCAGAAATAATCATTCTCCAGACTGGGTAAAGATTTTTACTAAAAAATACAGTTCACATCAAATCAAAATAGAGCATATTTTCTCTGCCTAAAATAAAGTGGATAAATATATATTTTGGATTTTTAGGTGAACTGCATCTGAAGTAATTTACTTTTTACTTTAGACCTAGAAGATGTTCTTTTAACTATAGTTGATTGTCATAAAATTATACATCAAAGGTATTACAGGGATCTTTTGCAAATTAGCATCTTTTAAAAATAAAGTGCTTAAAAAACAATAAATACAAATATTAGGGCTTCGCAAGTTAACTCGTTATTATCGATGCGCAGCATCGTCAATAATAAAAAACCTGTCAAAATGTAATAATTCCCAATAATGTATTAGTCATCAGGATCTGGAAAGGACGGCATTTGGTAATGACCCGGCCCGAATACCCTTCATTAGTAACCTCCAGTATTGGGAGTCCTTACCTAAGCTCCAATTTAGCCAAAGTATTATTTTTGCAATCAGGGCAAACGGCACAGTGAAACTTTAAGAAAGCACATATGTGAAGTGCAGCTTGCGTGCGGCGAGCAGGACTGATGAAGTGAGCTGTTGCATTTGAAAGGCATAGGTTGGCCTGGGTGAGTGGTAGTGCAGACAGCGAGAGTTGCAGAGTTCAGAATCCCCGGCCCGTGCTCACTTCTCTGCAGCTTTCGCTCCAGCAGACTGACACCAACACCTCCATGCATATTACATGACCCGTGTTGGCTGACAAGCTCTCTTTCACACTTTCTCTCCTCTCACCTTTGTAGTCACACACACACTCACACACTTACACACAAACAGAATCAAACACGCACCATCACACATTCCTTCACTCTCAACTAAGCTGGCCCCCCAAACCCTCAAAAACCATCAGTCTCACCAATTCACTTCCTAATGTAGAATGGCATTTCATTCTGAGACGACAGCGAGGGCAGAGAGACACTGAAGTGGATGAAAGAAAGTAAAAAATGATGGTGAATGAATCTAAAGAGACTCTCCTTACAGCATGACTTTCTGCCTTTGGCACATCAATAATGGCAACTACAATTGAGTTTAGGAGAGTTACATGGGTACCACTTTACAATAAGACTACCCTTATAAAGGATTCATAAAGGGTTTATAATTAGGTTATGAATGAGGTTGTAAACAGTTTATTAATCATTAAGAACCATTTATAAACCAGTTCTAACATAGTTTTCATACATCAACACAGGCTCACTATTTGGCAAGATGACTAAGCCTTATATTGGCTACTTAGCGAGAATCAACTCAGTGAACAACAGATACCAAGGATGCTGGCTGATAAAGAAGACAAAGTAAGCTAGGCTTAGCAGTACAGATAAATGTGGGCTCACTATTTGGCAAGCAACCGGTCACAGTTGCCCTGTTTATCTCATGTCTTATAAAAGCTTATTAATGATTTATAAAGTGTTCACAACTTAATTCATAAATTACAAACTATTAGTAAACCTTTATAAGGGTAGTCTTATTGTAAAGTGGTACCGTGTTACATGTATTACAGTAACCTGCATACAAAATAACACGATTAAACATACTTGCATTTAAATAATACCATAAGTAAGTAATCTGTTGTTTTGTAATTTATTTAAATGTAACACCTTTTGAGGGGAAAAGTGGTCAGTTTTTTTTTTAATGAATGGTTAATAATGACACAACACTTCTTCATATTTAAATAAATGATTGCACTTGATTCTGTGGCAAAAAAATGTTTGGTCAAAGTCAAACTTTGTTGCTGAGTGGCGATCCACTGAATCACTGATTGCAGCTGCATGCAGGTAATCGCTCATATTAATTGGATTAGCCTACATTTGAAAAGCTATCCCAGAAGCCTGCTGCTGGCTTGTTATTGTCGTCCACAGCATTGGTCACAGCAGCACACCGAGACAACTCAGTCCGCTCAATTAATCTGTTAACAAATGTCCAGCAGCATATTAAACTCTAATTCAGTCCCAGCATAATTAGTTTGTTATGAGGACTGTGTTTACCGTGTGGCTCTCACCGCACTGCTGCCCCCACATTACCACAGACATTATTGTTTACTTTTTAGGATCAGTTTCCCGTTGACCCTGGTTTAATTTATGTGCCTTGTGCTATTACAGTATATTGTTGCTTTCTCCATTGGAAGTGTTTCTACTTCTACTAAATAACTTCCTTGTGGGGAGTAGATTTGTAACTTTTAATTTGTCAGGATGTCTTTTGTGGCTATAGGATGCTGGCTTTGCTGTCACATTTGCAATACCGTGATATTGTTTTTATTGCTTTATTATATTGCCATGACAGATTGATTGTCTGATAATACCTCTGTCTTAAAGTTGTACATGGGCATAGAGGTTCAAATGAATTCCTCTTCCATTGGCACACACATTTCAATGTGCACAGCACTGCACACACGGTGAAATGAAGTCTCTCCATTCAATCCATCCCCGTATTAGGAGCAGTGGACAGCTAGTATACAACGCCTGAGCAACCGTGTTGAAGTCTGGTACCTTGCTCAAAAGGTAGAAGTCCTAAGCATACATCCTGAAGCACTGCCACCCCACTATACAACGGTTGTATAGAACATGTTCAGATTAATGTCAATAAGGGACCATGAGTTCCTGAATAAAAACTTTATCCATTTAATGAACATTTTAATTGACAATGCTAAATAGGCCAAGGATGTGGCACAGCCCCACCTAGTGTCACAGCCCCACCTAGCCCCACCTAGTGTCAGCAGAAAGTATTACAAATAATGATTACAAAAAAATGCAAAAAAAAAATATATATATATATAAATAATATTTTAAGTATCATGTTTAATTCATCTGATTCGTCTG